TGATTTTCCATAAAAGTTATACGTTATAAAACTTAATATTTTTATGGAATTTTTATATCAAATTTTTTATTGGGCTTCAGCTAATGACTATGAAGCAGCTATTAGCAACAATAATCTTACTATCAACGGTAAACATGTGGAATAGACTGAAATTAAAGTTTGATTATGTGCTATCTACTCATCTTCTCACCACAAAATTAAAGACTGTCCAAAAAAATGTTAAACACCCCTAAGACAAAAACACGTAAATTTATACTAATGATTCTAACTGATATAATACAATAACTACAAAGCACCATTCTATCCTCATCAGGGTGTAACAAGTCTTAATATTACATTCACAATCATTATCACAGAAGGTGTTAATGAGAAACCTAAAACTCCAGTCAAATCACATCTGACTCAGATTAATGATAGTAAAGTACTTAATAATACCAACAAACAGTCCAACAAACCAATCACCTTCTGGAGTGATGATATTTCTCCTAATATAGAATATTGTAATCACTAAAATCAAAAATCCTAAGATAATTCATGTGAAATTTTTGCTAACATGAAAACTAGTAGCTCTATGTATGAAAAAGACGTAAATTCTGATTTTAAAAACTTCATTAAGACGAGTTTTTTGCAATTAACATAAAAATTAGACAATCTCACAGTTACCCTTGGCTTTACCATAAAAAGAATGGATACTATTGAACAAATACTTAATATAAAAGTCAGTTATTCTGATGAAGAAACTATAGAAGACTATGATACAGAACATTATGGTGATGATCGTATCATCGATGCTTCAACTTCAGTAATTAACAAATAACGATAAACCATTGCAACTTTAAAAGAGATTACTGATGTATAAAATTTATATCTGAAGAATTTTACGGAAATAATTAATACACTAGTTAATTCTTGTAATACTTTCTGTACAGTTCTCATCCATAATGATTTGCTCCTGATAAATAAGATTTTAATAATATACGCACTTAATACTGCTTATGATACAGAAGCAGA